AATATTCTTTTTCACTCCTGTCCCATGCTCATAACAAACACCAAGATTATTTTGTGCCCCAGCATATCCTTGTGCAGCTGCTTTCTGGTACAGCTCAAATGCTTTTTGGATATTCTTTTCCACTCCTGTCCCATTGTCATAGCAAAGACCAAGATTACATTGTGCTATGGCATATCTTTGTTCAGCTGCTTTTTGATACCATTGAACGGCTTGTCCAAGATCTACTTCTGTTTCTATTCCATATGCATAGAAGAATCCAATCAGCCAAAAGCATTGTCCACAATTAGTATGAGTCTTTAATATATCCAATGAACTTTCTTGATTATCATTATTTTGTATCAGCCAATTTTTCATAAAATCAGCTACTAGTTTCAGGGATTTCCCATTAAATCTTAAATTTTTGTATAATACTGACAACTCATTAGAAAGAGTGTGATCTATAATCTCCTTGTTATTTGTGTTAGAATCACATTTTGGTAATTGGTTCAAGTTTCCCATTATATTTTTTAATCTATGATAGCATTGGTCGCTGGTTGGTCGTTTTTCCGAATCGTTGTCCCAGCATTCTGCATACAAGTTTTTATATTCCTCTGGTGTGCCTGGAACTACATCATGGCGACCACCATTCAGCCTATAAACACGAACGTCAAATATATCTTTGAATTCCCCGCATGGATATTCTCTGCTGGATATTTCCCACAGAATAATGCCAAGGCTAAAAATATCAGATTTCTCATCTCGTTTACTATCGTTGTCATTAAAGCATTTAGGGTCAAGATATGCATAAGTTCCTCGGTGATCTGAGCAAGTCTTTCGCAGTAATAATTTTTCAGATGTTCCAAAATCCGTGATCTTGGCCGTTTTCCCATGAATTAGTACGTTGTTCGAAGACTTATGATAGCATTGAGAAGCAATATGTCAATATACAATCGACGTTAAATAAAACCGCATCAATGAGGAATACACTTACTAAATCTTTATGCAGGATTCCTACTCTATGAATATATCTCAATCCGTTAACGATATCCACACCCAGTTGACAGTTGGCAGGCCAATCTAGTTTGATGGCTGACGTCGATAAGTATTCCCGTAATGAACCGTTGTCGGCATAATCAAAGACCATCAAGTATCTTTCCTGGGTATCTATTGAAAGGTCGAAAAGTATTATATCCATGTCTATTTTCTAGCACATTGAATCTTTTCATCGTTACCTTTGCTAATGCCAAGGAATCGAATTATATTGGGATGGTCATCTACACTACGATGGATTTTGAGCTAGAATATGGGTCATTCAAACGAATAACATATAAGACCATAGTTTCATAGACCTAGCAACAGTTCTGTCATGCATGATTACAAACCTCGTTTACAAAGTCTTTAAGGAACTCGTTTTCGTCCGAATGTATGATCAACTTGTAAGCAACAGTGATGCCCGATGTTGGTACTGTTGCTTTGAAAACTACACCAACTGCACCATGGCCTATGCAGCAGCTATTGATTAAGCCATCATAAGGATAGAATCGAATGTATTCACTTTCAATACTCTTTTCTAGCCATTCTTTGTCAGCGGAAATTGATGTCATCGTTGCTATTATTGTTGGCTTGAAGTTCTGCACATTGATATATTGACTGTGTCACATAGATTAGTAACACACAGGCGGCTTGATTTATTTTTTACCGTGATCTGCATATAACTGATAATAAGAAAAGCGGTGGATAAATGCTCAATTATGTTCACAAATTACATAGACTCAGTTTCCCCATTGAAAGAAACAATGTCCTGCGATGTCTATAAAGGGTGAAGTCTCATGTAGTTATAAATTTAGAAACATTAAATATACTTGTCTTTCGGTTGTAATGTATTGTTGATATAAAGTCTCGAAAATAGGTTTATTCATTAACTCGTTTTCATTTTGGCGACTTGCACACAAGCCATCTAGTCTTTTTCAGATGAGAAAGTCGGAAGAGCGAGGTCAAACGTGATGAGAATTGGTTCACTTGCAAAAATTTATTGGTGTTAGGATGATTTATCCGCTTGAACGAGATAGATTTCCAAATGGAAACATGTACAGATGATAATGGAAATGTTGGTTATATTGCGTATCATAAATTTTTATAAAAAATTAGTCGCCTTTCTTCCTTCCCAGTAATTTTCGCTTACGAGGTTTTCCTAAAAAAAACGAAAGAAGTAAAAAACACATTCTTAGACTTAATTAAAGGGCTTTCTGTCTCGATGTAAAAAAAAAAGCATTTCGACACAATCAGTTATTCCGTAAGCATAGGCCTCCGTCGATAGCATGCCACATTTTTGGTTAACATTGAAATGAGAAATTGGGGTAAGAGCTGGCTTGTTCGTTTATCTGCACACGATATAACAAACCCTTGATATAACGGTTATTACTTTGTACGGAGAGAGTGACCTTCGTAGATGGCAACGTGGATAGGAGTATTATTGTGAGTATAAAAGTCCCGTCGAAACTACGTTTTTATTCTAGCAATGCACACGAAATAAACACAATGCTACTTTTATCTATAAAAAAACGTATTAAAAAACATCGATTCAAAATAATACCATCCATATCACTGGTATTAAAATTTTAATTTTGCTAATAAATTCGACCTCAATGTCAATGACAAGCTTTTCAGAACTTAGACAGATTTATATTTACCAATAGCTGCTGTTATCAATCGGTCAATCTATCGTACATTTGCTTGGCGGAACCATACAATATCAAATATTACTAAAATAAGATATGAGTTTTCGATTCAAGTTTTTAAATACTTTGAGTAGTACGCAAAGCAAAACTTTCGACATAACGCTAGCTCGTAATCTTTAAAAAATGCGCAAAAAAGTGTTATTGCAAATCTTTGAAATATTATCAAAAAAAAAGTCAAAAAGGGAATGCCGCAAAATCAACAAGACTTTAAGTATGATAGAGGAATAGAAGCGATGATGTGATGTTAATTAATTTAGTACAAGCAGATATGAGTTAGTTATTGAAAATAATGGAAAAAGAATATTGTATTAATATTATTAGTTATCAAATGAGATATTAATCGTATTTATTGTTACGGCAGTTATTGCACACTGATCAAAATACATAATTGCCAATAATGTTTTACATACTGCATGCATAATGATGCCGCAAATTAGCCTTCGACATTGATGCACAAAATCAGGAGCTGTCAAAGATTACATTCGTCATCGGATACATGTGCTGAACGGCCTATCCAACGAAACCATTCGCACCAACAATAAAATAATGTTTAGATAGTAATCTGTTATTTTATCTATTACAATTATAACTAAAATCTCTAGACATGTAATTCTCGGGATCGAACTGTCAAATTTTCAAAGTGGGTATCGGAACAAATGACAGTGAATATTGTAAAACGGAAATAATAGATTATAATAATAAGTGAAAAATTTCGATAGAATTTGTTAGACAAGAAGCTTGCACATACAAGTAGTAAGTCGAAAAAACCCCCCTCAACGTTAACCTTGTTGCAGCTGAGAGTAGCAAACCTTAAATTTATTATCACTACTATATGTAAATATCACGTGGACTGCAGCGTATACCTTCATAAAATTGCTAGTTTTTGCTAGCTATTATATGTGCCATTTGTTCATTATAAGTTGTGAAATATACGGGTATAGAACAATGGTCGGCAAAAAGGCAAGAAATAACTAAATGCTAATATTTTTGAATTGATTAAATGAGATGTACGATGCTTTTCTGATAATTTGTTTTTGTTTACTGTCGCATAAGCTTTAAATAAAAGGTTGCGTTACACGAATATGTCTGCAAGTCATAGTAACTACCCTAAGTATTCAATAAATGAGAACGAGGAGAATTACCCGTGCGTATGATAAGATTGATCAATACAATGGTTGTCAGCTTATCTTTGTTACGAGCAGCTGTGTTATGTTAAGGTGTTTTGCATGGAACTAAATATGGTTACGAAATAAAGTAGTTAGCGTATTGTTTGATTATTTATAGCAATAGCGGTAACACAAGCGATCCGTAAAAAGAGTGATTATCAGGCTTCTTACAAACGATGAACATTTGACTTTCTAATATATATATCAGTACACTTTGCAGTCATCTTGCAGTAAATCTTGAAAAATACGTGCATACTAATCTTTCGCCATTATGTATATTCGCGATAATCCCCCTGGTAGGGTATAACAGTTAAAACACAAGCAAAGTTTTTTATATACTTTTACATACTCGAAAACTTGTCTAAACTTTTGTTTCATACTTACCCCTTTTTAGCTAATATTGAAGACGAATTATCAGTGCAGGCACAATGCTACGGGTTACCATTCGGAGCCTTTGGCATTGTCTGTTGGTTATTGACACTCTTTTCTATTGCTTTAGTGTATATAAAATGCCCTTTGTTCACGCCATGGAGATGGGGCCAGACTTATAGAACACCAGAAAGACTATGGGCAATCTTCCCGTTTACCATGATTATAGGACCGACAATTTACACATGTATCAAGTGTCGGGGAGAATGGATGGTAGTACTCATCGCGATTGGACAACTTACTCCGTGGAGCGTAAAAGTATTCAATGACGGCTATGCAGGCGGCGTGACAGAGGATAGAAACAAATTTTATCTCACTCTTGGTATGGTTACTACGCCTTTATTATCACTTTGTGGATGGATAGGTCTAACAGCGCTGAGTGTGGAAGTGCGAGAGACAGAAGAATCTGTGAGTACATGGATATGGTCATTGTATCTAGCAGGTTTCTTTGTGAGCATAGTGATTTACAAGCTGTGGGAAAAGTACGATGTTGCAGACGGAGCAACTCGTATACCTAGGATATTGATAATATTGGTATATCTTTTGGCAACGTTACATATATTGGGGTCGCATATCATTCTTTCTCTTATTACTAAAAATTGGGGAGGCGCTGCTGGTACAAGTGCTGCGTTAACTTCGTCAATTGTCTTTTTTATCGGAAAGCGTTTCCTTTTCGTAGATTTTAATTGTTGGTGTTGTCATACTTAATTTTTATTTTTTTAATTCAAAAACTTGTCAATAAATGTTATTAATCTTTGTCGTAATAGACTGTGATATACTTTATTTGTCTGCGTAACCATTAAAATGAACTCCATCTCGTAATAGAAAATGCCAAAATCGAAAATATTGCTGATCATGTCATATATCGTGAAGCAAGTGTAATCAATGGTTAGGAGCACAAAACCTAAAATATGTATCCAATGATTATCGGACAAAAACCTCCGGTCACAAACATTTGTTGCTTATTGGCTAAAAACATGCATATAAATGCAATTGTTTGGACGTTTGTGGTTGTAATCAGCCTGATTGACATGGAAAAAGTTTATCGATAAAGGCGCAAAGCTGTGCTTCAATGAAAAATTTACAACCACTACTCAAATACGATTGTTACGCATTTCGAATTAGTACTACCACTGCTCATTGCATATGCAATGGCTTTGTTTGCCTAGCCGCTGTGGGGGGACAGCTTATCGTAAGAACATTGATATTTCGATTGTGTAACTTATCAGCAGCATCGACTAAATAAATGCATGATAACATCGAATCTATTCATTTAGATAATCAGTTAAAGTTTCCGTCTGAGCAGTAATGTAACGACGTCACTCTTGATATATTTTTACACACACTTTTAGTATCGCACAATATAATTACTCCATTGTCTCTTACAACAAACACACACAATTTGAATGCATAATGTACTTTCATTGTTAACGATACCATGATTTGGCTATTTTTAAGTCTAATTCAGACACACAATAAACGAGTAATATCCTTAGTATTAAAGTGACCAAAGATGCATACGATACGGGTTGCTAATTAAGTCATTCCTCGAAAGATATTAAGGCTACTATAGCCCTGTGAAGTAACCGAAAACTGGTTGTAATAACCAAGACCTATTTAATGAAATTTAATTTATTGCAAGTACAATTGCATGATATAAAATAAATGTTATATCAGACGGAAATATTGCGTGCGGAGCTTGTTGCGAGTGTGACAACTTGCGTATGTTACGAACTCTGTCTTATTTTAAAATATGAAAATTTGCAAAAGTTTTTTATTACAACAGCACACGCAAACGATTAAGCTCTTTGTTATAATGGTGAGCAGATTCTGTCAACAGATATGTCTGGTGTTAGTATACTAGTATGGTGTCTTGTTATGTAATCAATAACAATGCTTAGAATCTGTTCGCTACTCAATCTACATATGTTCAGTCAACAATCCATTCAAATAAACAATAAACAAGGGTGTATGTAGGTGGCTTGTTTCGGCTGTGTGTGTGTTACAATGTCTGTAACACATAATCGATATAGTACTGGAGAATTTGCAGAAAGAACTTCAGGTCGACAGTAATAACGATGACGTCGATTGCCTCTGACAGAGAATGGCTAGAAAAGAGTATTGAAAGTGAATACATTCGATTCTATCCTTATGATGGCTTAATCGAAAAAGACTGCATAGGCCATGGTGCATTTGGTGTAGTTTTCAAAGCAACAGTAGCAACATCGGGCATCACTGTTGCTTACAAGTTGATCATACATCCTGATGAAGACGAGTTCTTTAAAGACTTTGTAAACGAGGTTTGTAATAAAGCATGACTAAACTGCCTGTAGGTCTATGAAACTATGGTCTTATATGTTGTTCGTTTTGTATGGCCCATATTCTAGCTCAAGATTCATCGCACAGTAGATGACCATCCCAACATAACCCGATTCCTCGGCCTTAGCAAAGGTAACGATGAAAGCATTCAATGTATTACGAAATAGTCTTGAATATAACACTTTTTAAATTCAAATAGATATCAAAGGAAGATACTTGATGGTTTTTGATTATGCCGACAGCGGTTCGTTACGGGAATACTTATCGACGTCAGCTATCAAGCTAGATTGGCCTGCCAACTGCCAACTAGGTTTGGACATCATTAACGGATTAAGACATCTTCATAGAATAGGAATCTTGCATAAAGATTTAGTAAGTGTATTGTTCATTAATGCAATGTTTTCTTAGTGTAAACTGTATATTGATCAATTGCTTTCTGATGTTGTCACAAGTCTTCGAACAATGTGTTAATTCACGGGAAGACGGCTAAGATCACGGATTTTGGGACATCT